GGGCTTACCGTCGCGATGATTGCTTGAAATTTCAATGGAACCGACATTAAGCAACTTGTTCAGATGACCATTTTCTTTAGAGAGTGACAAGAACACAGAAGACAAAGCAAACTCTAAAAACGGATCAAGGGAGAGGAAAACATGCTGTTTGGTATGAATACTTCGGAAAGACTTAGGTCAACTTGGTTTGAGTGGTCTGAGGGACGTAAGCAAGGATTCAATTGCTGAAAAAGAGGTAACTTTACATTTTTCAAATGGGCGCGTACAAAAGACTTGGGATTTTAGCGGGAAAAAATGAAAATGAAAAAGGGAGACATAAAACTAGGAATAAAAAATTATCGTATCGGAACTAGGCGACAAAACACTGAAGTACACGGAATCAACCCATGGGAATAATGTGTGCAGTTTTCGGTAAATAGGGATCAGCAGTACGTCGAATCAATTGTCCCGAGTTACCCACGAGCATCCTACGAATTCTTTGTTTGATCCTCCACTTTGCACAGTATGTTCTTTATCGTTAGCGTCACGATCTACATTCGACTTTGTGGCACTCTTTGGACTGATTTTGGAACTTGAGACCGGGGCGGTCTTTGGACTGTTCAACTTACAAATTGAGCAAGTTGAGCGGCCTTGAGTTTAACATAAAATTTCAGGTGAAGAAGCATCTTATCGCCAATTCAAACAAGCTGTGTGGGGGAAGTAGTAAACCACTGAATGCCGCGTATGCATACACATAACGCACACTGAGGCACATTTTCGGACACGCATCCACGTACAATAATCCTCGAGACCAATGGTTTCGTTGGTACATGACTTTACGATACGAAGGAAAGCAATATCTACATTGAGGCGTACTGTTTATTGTAAATAGACTCGCTTGTTTGAGCCAACAGAACCAACGAGGCTGTTCATCCTTTCAAGTCTAAACTTGGCAGCGCTTTTTCTTTTCATTACAGATGCCTTTTTCGAAGGCACAGATGACCGCACTGTACAGCTCTCCAGTCCTATACCGAGACTTTTTCGGTGTATATGGCAAGCTTTGCCATGAGCATGTGAAGGATTTTGCACACGCTATTATCTGAAATGTCATGAAGTGCACTATCAAATCGGGAGATTTTATTAGGTCGTCCCGAAAGTATTTTCGCTTTTTCAAACAATTGGCACGGTCCGCAGAACAAATATTCTTGAAAGATCTTGGAAGCAATTGATGCAGTTCTATACTCTTTCAAATGGTTATCTTTATATTGCAGTTTAACACATTGACGACAGCTTGACACACATGGTGTGTCAAGCAATGACTACCGCGTGGGACCGCTTGACACACCATATGTGTCAAGGCTTGAGTTTTGGTAAAATGACTACTATCTTGAAATAAACTCACTCCATGAGCTTTCTTTTGCAGAGGGATCTTGGGATGATTCCTACCTTTTCTGTCAGCCTTTCAGATCTACTGTAGGCATACTGAAGATGGCAGTATGCGTAATTACAGTTGAAAAAGTGGGCTGGTCCGTTAAAAGGCCTTGGTCCCAAATGGCAGACAACTGAAAATCTGCATGGTCGTCAATGTGTTAACAAACGATCTCTCAGAAAATTACCAAAAACTGCGACCTACGCTTTTTACCAAGGTCAAGTTCCGCTATTTTTCTAAATTCTTGTGCTGATTCTCCGAAGAAGCTCAAGTAACCAGCGGATAGAGCAAACAAAGTAAGATACAAAACAATTTCTTTCTCCTTCCCAGAGTCTTCCACAATTTTTGACTAAATTTTAAACAACACTAGCGAATTTTAGCAGACCCATACCAAATGCAGACTCGTCAAACTCTAAGAAATTATCAGTTTTTGATACTCTTAAAGATAGGTTAAGATTCATTACTAATTTTACAAGACAAATGAGCGTTTCCAGGTTCGAAATATTAGATTTTGAAATTTTGGGGTACATCGGGGCGCCATCAAAAACATGAATTTTGTCGATTTTGTCCCCTAAAAGTTTACGAATCAGAAACAAAAAACATGTCTCTGAAAGAGGAGAAGGCGCTGCTTCGAATAACATCCGAGTTGCTTTCCGAGTGATGCTCTATGAGGTTTAAGTTGACGAAATATAGAATTTGATAGCATCAAAAAATATTTCCAAAAATTTTGTAAAGTAAGATTTGGAAGGGGCGGAAATTGTTTTGTATCCTACTTTGTTTGCTCTATTGAAAGGTCACTTGAACTCCTCAAGAAAATTACTTCAGGAATTTAGAAAGATACCGGAAATTGACAACGGCAAAAACTATGGGTTGCAGTTTTTGGTTCTTTTCTGAGAGCTCGTTTGTTAAACTGCAATGTAGAGATGACCGTTTGAAAGAGAATAAAAAACTGCATCGAATAATTCCAAGATCCTCTAAGAATTTTGTTCTGAGGACCGTAGCGATTGTTTGAAAAAAGCGAAAATACTTTCGGGACGACCTAATATATATCAACAAAAGTTCCCCGAGACTGTTTTAAGGTCTGTCTTACTTATCTGGACGACTCTCTAACAGCAAGTATGAGGCTGAACTTATGAATTCATTAGTTTTGTTCTCAAGTCTCGCAGCCTTTTCGATTTGAGGGTTTAAGCAGTCATAACTTTTTGCAACTCGTTCAAAAAATAAGGCGAGCAGAATCTAGACCAGCATTTGAATGTGCTACTGATAGTAAATGTGTCCCCAATATTCTGCTGGGATTTGCTATTCCCCCTGTCAGCTCGTGTGAAGGTCCGTTTGTATGATATCTAGAGTAGTAACAAATTAAGATCTCTGGATATGTGACTATTTCCTACTGAAATCAATTCACTGTTCTCGTTTATATTTTTCCAAGAGCCAACAATCGATGGATTTATGCTACAGTGACACTTACCATGCAAACCTTGCAATATTGCCGCCCGCAATATTTAGTCTCTTTTACTGCTTCACCTTGGCCATTAACTGAGTATGCATCACTGAATGCATAAAACTTGTTTGGTAAATCTTCTGAAGTATCGCCGTAGGGCAAGCCCAGTTTTCTAAAATATTGTGAATGGCAGAAAGCTGGAGATCAAATGCTAGCATAACTCACGTAACGTCCAAGACAAGAAAATCCAACACCTGAGCGCGCTGGAGATCTTTTGGGGGCACTTTCATATAATTCGTAAGAGCTCGATACAATATCATTGTGTCAGACTGCGTTTCGCATTGGTAATCCTGCAGTCAAAGATTCTGGTACAACAAGTAATTATTTCACTCTGTACAGCAAGCTCACACAGATGGTGAACATGTATTAGGTCGGTCCGAAAGTTCGTGCCGTTTTTCAGACCCGTGCTCAAATCATTCAGGATAATGATAGACGAACGCTTCAAACCGCGTTGGATGCAGAATTGTTCCACTTTCTAGCAGTGATGTTTGTTTAAATTCTTTCGATTGAGTGCTCCAGTAATCGTCAGAATCTACAACCCATGCCTTTTATCCAGCCAGAGCTTGGCTATTTTCCGAATTTTCATAATCAACTTTTAGGCTAACCTTGATAGCAGCCGGATAGAATAAAAAAATGCACAACAGTTCATTTTCTAGCGTTTCTAGCCGAATTCTGAAAATTTTAGAAATATTTTTCCGATACTTCTGAAATCCATATTCAAGCATCCCATTTCTCACAGAACAACAAACATCGAGATTTGATTGATAGAGTCAGCATTGAGTCATAATTTGAAAGCGTCTAATTCCGAAGATGTATCAGTGTTTGACGCACTTGTGTATTTCACGACGTCGCAAAAATGAAGTTCCGGAAAAAATTTTTATAGAAATACTGGATAGCTAATTGAAGAGACCAAAAAGCTCATTGTAATGCAATCTGTTTATTCTACCCAACTGTTATCAAGTAGTCGAAAAACTGAAAGTGAAAATTCTAAAAATAACTAAACTCAGGAGTAACCGAAAAAAGCTGGGTTAAAACCATGGCTTGAAGATTCTGACAATCATCTGAGCGGACATCAAAGGAATTTAACATAAGCGTGACCGTTAGAAAGAGGAAGAGAATTTGCATCGAACACTGTTTCGTTTATTTGTCTTTAGCTTAAGTGGTCTGAGCATTGGTCTCAGAAACGGCATGGACTTTCGGATTGGCCTAATATATTGCCATTGCTGTAAGACAGCCGTGTTAATATCGAAAGCTTCCAAAACTGAACAATTAACTCATTGAAAAAAATATAGCTGACATGTTTCTTCTGAATGTTATGGTAATTGCCAAAAGTGCAGGTTGATTTCTGAACGAAAGAAAATAACTGACCACGTGATAATGATGTGTATATGTGCACTTAGTATTGAAAGCATCTGTGAATCGAACTATTTGTCCTGGTGAGAAGTACGTATGAGCTGTTTTGCATTCTTGAACTTTTTTTCCGTTCAGAGTGAATTTCAGATTCCTATCATTAATCGCAGCTCCACCAACAGGAAGTTTCAGGAACGAGCACTGGAAATGGCATCTGCATGTCATTCATAGGCAATTTGGTAACAACCTACTGCGAATAGGTAGAAGAGCAGCATTTCAGACTGATGTTCTAACGCTCAGTACGCTCTTATAGTGGTAGGCATACAGAACAAATGTGCACAAAAGAGTCATTTCATCCGGCGTCGTTATTGATATTGAGTATGACGGCGATATTTTTGGATAGTGGAAAAGCGCATCACCTCCACAAAAGACACACGGAACTCTTAGTGTTTGATTGGGGCAATCGGAATAGATCTTAGATAGAAGATCTCTACTTCTTACATGAGCAACGTTTACGTTATAAATTGTGGCTGCATTATCGGCAATTTTGCAAGGATTCTAACAGCTGCTCTTGCCCCACTGGTTTCAGTAAGACCGCGGGGTTTCTTGCACTGTATTGAACATCAGCTGATCCGAATTCTCATTTCAAAAAAAAATTATTAGTAGGGTCTGTCAGTTGCCTTTTTTAGTGTAGCTAAGTACAATGTGTATCATCCGAGTACTCCCTTTTCTGTAAGGGGCATGCATCCGCTGCGCAGGGACTTTGGGTGGTGGTCTCCAGTGATGAAGCCAATTCGAGCTCCCGTTCTCTACGTCCGTGAACTCGACGTGAGGCTTTCACTGACAGTGGCGTCAGTCAAAAAGGGAGTTGGATATTGACACAGAGTAAGAAAACCAAGCAATCTATCTTTTTTATAAAGCTGAATGTCTGTTTTTCTGTTTGTCTGTACAGGGTGGTCCATGAGATGTAACGCACAAAATCTTTCTAAACCTTGCTAGAGCTTAGTGAAATCGAAAGCAACGAAAAATCGAACATGTTGCAATCAGGGCCCGGCGGGGGTGGCGCTTTCACAAGCTGGATATCGTTTTTGGCCCGAAAAAGCAAAGGGGAAGTCGTTTTTTGGGGTCCGGGGCGGAGCCCCGGAAAAAAATTGGTAGTTCATGCTCGCTGCTTATCTTAACATGTTATGTCCCTCAATAGGCGAACACTGGAGTTCGCGCGTGTAAAACCGCTCCGTCGCTAACTGCCGCACACGCGACGTCGCTCAAACAATGCTGTTTGTAACGCATAAATGACGAGTTCTCAATGTATGCGTAACGATATGGCACCAAATTTTGTAAGCGAACGGAGAGAGGCTAATGGAAACAAAGTATGAAAAATCATGAAAAACTTATGTGAACGGAACGAGTAATAAGCATTTTTTCCGAAAATTTTGTAAAATTGGTAAATAAAGATGCGCATTCAATTGGCTCGTTTGCAACGCGCAGATGACGGTATGCTACGAAACTTGGTACATACGTGGACACAAGTTTGTAAGAGATTAGTTAGGAGTTTCATTGAAAAATTATGTGACTGAAGGTTGTAGCAAGGTTTTTTCTGAAAATTTCCCACTATCAAGAAAATGGAAAAATGGCTCGTTTGCAATGCAGAGGTGACGAAATTGCGCGGGATTTGGTGTGTATATGCGCAGTAGGACTAAGTAACAAAGTATGAAAAATTATGAGAAACTTATGTGAATTTAAAAAATGGTAAGTGTTTTTCGAAATTAGGTGGCTCCCGCGCCACCTGGGAGCCACCTGGGGTGGCTCCCTGCTTTCCTTCACATAATTTCCCGGATTTCTTTACATAATGTGGCTTAGGTCGAGAGTATTACTACATGTTCAAATCCGCTTCCAAAACCACCAAGGCACCGCTTCGATACAGCCCCAAATAGGGTTCACAGCGTTATGGTCGGCCTCGGAAAGCGCGCTACAATCGCAATCTGTGCACCTTGCACAGACGACGCGGAAACTTTGAGAAATTGGCTTTTTGCTAGATTACTGATCGCTGATTGAAGCAATCTTCTCAGTCTTCAACCGAATGCTTCTTCGATAAGCCCTACAAGGGCTCAGAAGGCTCAGCGATCATATTTGATCGTAATATTCTGTGCAAAAAAGTTGTTTTTGTAATCGTATTTTTTCAGTTTTCGCAATATGGTCAATTTTTCCGTAATTTCGCTCTTTTGGGTCGTTATTAATAAGTCGTTAGTAAGTGTAATTTTTGGCCATCCTCTCAAACGATGACCCGGGCCGGACCAGGAAAGCCAGGTAGTACTACTATAATAAGCGCTGAGGCCGCCCATCTTATTATTTGTGTATATCTGTTTGTCAGGGACTTACGGGGGCCAAAAATAGGGTCAAAGGGGGAGTCGTAAGAAATTTTGGCTTCAAAGGGGATATCGTTTTCAAAATTCTGAAATGCCACCTCCTGCCGGGCCCTGGTTGCAATGGGTAACGATAGGCACATAATCTCAGTTTTGCTCCTTTACCAAGATTCCTGGCTAGATAGAATTCTGCAAATCTTAAAAGAAAAATGTGAAAGACATTTGCTGATATAAAATCATTCCGGCTAAGGATGAAAAGAAACTGCTGTAGTAAGTCCGGTGTACTTATTTTCCGACCTTTCAAATCGTACCCGCAAGTTCACGGTCTGACAAACTGAAAGACGAAAAAGTCCGCTGAAATCAATAGCAATCAAAAGGCTTGTGCGGTTTGAAATGTGCAGAGGATTGGCTACGCTTTCCACACTCTGTCAGAAAGCCTGCCGAAGACTCATGATGTTTTTGAAATGTCGAGTTTACCATCTAGCAAGTGAAGGCATGACGTTGAGATCCCCACCCACCCAGGGTATAGCGACATTTCATAATTATTCTCATAAAATCAATGTAAGAATTTGCAGCTAGTTTCCTCGCGTTGAATAATTCTCTATACCATCTTGAGTATTCAACGTTTACGCGATTGACCGCAGTGACTCGTTATCTATCATAATGTTCGCTACATCCCAAGAACATTACATATACATATATATCAGGTCTAAAGTAATTCCGCTTTTTTTAATGGGCGCCATATTTGAGGAAGAATGATTTCTGAGAGGTCTTGGTAGCATTACATGCAGCATATCATCCTCTTTGTGATGATTATGGCTTCATTTGAGCAGAACCAATGAGCTCTTGATATATTCCCAAAGTCCGCGACGCTCGCTTTTTGAGATGCTCAAGTTTACGATTTTTCTGAATTTCAATATCAACCCTTCGAAAGAGACCAATTAAAGGGTGGATAGAGCAAACCCTACAAAATACAAAACAATTTTTCTCTCCTTTCCATAACTCGTCATGTTTTCTTAACACATTCACGACAAGACCGATTTTTCGATTACTGCCATTTCGGACAGGCGCCTTTTTTGCTCTGCAACTTACGACCCACCCGTGAGTCGTATTGTCCGAAATGGCAGTCCTTTTGGAAAGGTCCAGTATATGAATCCAGAACTTCCCCTAGGGGTTCATCGGATGTGCTGATTACGAAAATGGCACTCATTTTACTTGTTAGGACCAGGGCCAGGTACAGATGGTTTTGGGCCAAGCTGGACCTCGTTTTTGAAGTTAGAAGCAATGGAGATATCGCTTTTATGAGGTCCTGGAGGAAGTGCCAAAAAACGACGAACATGTCAGGTTTTACGAGTTGAACGTGTTCTTTCGTAAGCGCGATTAAACGCAAGACTCAAACAAAAAGATGGTTTGTTTACAGCGCACAAACAATCACATGGCTCCGTATTTGGGCTATGTGTATACAATATTACTCCCAATATATTATGTGGAAAGTTTCAAAAACTTATGTGTCCTAATACCCGCTCCCGAATTTGTTGGTTTCTAGACCAACACCAAACCAACTGGGTTGGTTTGAAGCATAAATATCGGAGAGTTCACATAAGTTTTGGACCTTTTTGATTTAGACGATTGGGACGGTCAAAAATCTATCATATAGTAAAGAGAGCAAATCCAGCCATTGCCTCTCCTCTTTTTTTAGTCAAAGGTAGTGTAATTCCTACACGTTGAGGGATATCGCGCTCCAATCACATGCGGTGTCCTTTGAACTATGTGGCGAAAAATGCATCGCCGGATTGTTGAGGCCACAGATTTGGTTGGTCTAGGAGATTTTTGCTATTCTGAGCACTAAATGGTACTATACCCGATAGCAAAGCGTTTATTCAACTCGAAATGTCTTCTTTCCGCTTATTTGTTATAATAGATAACTCAAAACGCACTTTTTTCGCTTTTTTATTGTTATTTTGGTTAGTTGAATAAGGGTTTCCTACTGATTTTTACGTCAAGAGGGACTTCGTTAATTATCGCGAAGTTACGGGGACTTCGTTTCCCTAAAAAGCTCCAAATCAACGCATGCCGGGTCCTGGTTAGGACCTTAGTATAGGGTTACGGTAGTCCTACTGTGGGTGACAAAAGATCACGAATTTCTATGAAACTTGTGCTTTGGGGTTATCGAAGTTGCTGATTACGGAAATAACTTCACTCGCTAAGGCCTTAGCATGGGTTTACGGTAGTCATAAGATAGGTTATAAAAAGTCGCGAATTTTGTAAAAAAAACCCCTCTCATAGGATAAGTTGGTATGCTGATTGCAGAACTGCTCTCTTTCATAGTCAGTAGTGAGTCGACACTGCGGAAAAATAACAACGAAGCAGATTGCCGCAAAGAAGAAACTATTTCCCTGAGCAAAGGAGTGTGATGTAAAATTGATTTGGTGAGCGAAGGGGCGTGCTGTCCTGCAGCGTAGGGTCCCCAAACGTTTTCTACAGTAACATTATAGTTGAACGAATGTGTAGGAGCATCCATGTAATTTAGTGCGCATACAACACGCCTTATCGACATAAGCGTTGATCCGGTACGTCAGTCAGTCACGATGTTTTTTTTTTACATTTCAAGTCTCTCGTACAGAGAGCAGGTGATGTTGGCGAAGATGGACTAAGCGGCAGTTTTGAGCGTCTCCTGAAAGCTGCTCTCACCGCGGATGAAATCACTCAAGAGAATATGCGAACTGAAGAAGACGAGGAGATCGAAGATGCGGAATCCGCCGACGAATCGGATACCAATGATTCATGGTCAGATACTATCACCACACGATGCATGGTATTTCCATGACGATTGCGGTATTGATCATGCCATATTAGACCTCATCTCCTATCAATTTTTTCGATCTCTTCGCCACCGTCATGGGATCAAGATGTTCAAGCTGTGTTTCAAAGGCGGATTCACCCACAAAATAATGGTTAGGCTGGAAGAGATCAGTCTCGAAAGGAGAGCCTGGCTGAACATGTAATTATGGAGCTGACAGATGATTTACTCGGTAGAGGACAACATTTATACACGGACAACTGGTACACTAGTGTATCCCTGGCTGAAAAGCTTTTGAATAGAAAAACGCATTTCGTTGGCACCATCAGAAGAAATCGCAGAGGTCTACCGAAAGCAGTAGTGGAAAGGAGATTGAAGAGGCGCGAATCTGTAGCACAGCAAAACGATCCAGGAATCCACTGTACTAAAGTGGCGCAACAAGAGAGATGTTCTCATGTTATCAACCTTTAACGATGACAAAAAGGATGAGCAAGGAGAGCCGCTAATTATTCAAGATTACAACAAATCAAAATTATTCGTATACAAACGACCAAATGGCCTCGTACACACACCTTTCGTGAGAAAAACAAGCAAGCGGTACATTCGTCTATTCTTTCACATTCTCACCCAGACAACACTCGTAAATGCTTGGAGGTTGTACAGCAATTACGCGAAGAAGGTCCCTCTCACGGAATTCAAGATAGAAGTGATAGAGTCGCTACTAGATCTTGGAGGAACAAAACAACCTCTGTTCCCAGATACACACTAGAAGATATTCATGGCCCCAAATCTACTGCAAGGGAGAGGTGCAATGCTTGCTACAAAGAGCTTAGCAAGAAGGAAGGATCACGCTTTGCTGACAAAATGCTCGAAAATTCAATACGAGGTGCAGTCGTTGTTTGAAGCAATTTGCATAGGCTGTTTCTGTAAACATAAGAGCTCTAATCTGAACTATTTTATTACGTTTGTTTTATGTCAACTCTTTTTGTGCTCATGTGTGTATTTGAAGCTCATTTACTCACTGTATGCAGCCGAAGCTAAAAATTTTTTTACCTGAATCACTTCTTATGGTGAATTTGCTTTCACTAAATGAATTTTATTTGTGTTGTCTGAGGCACTCCAGAAGAACAGACGGAAAGTCATCTTCAAAGTGTTATCTGCATGTAAAATATCACACGCAAACCAAGGCAACGCTGCATAAGCAATTCGAGGTCAACAAAGTAATCTTTGGTGATCTAAAATATCATCATGATAAATTGCCATAGCTCAATTTTTCGTTTTGTGTAGCGACATTGTCATGGTGCAAAATAAGCTATGATGAAAGAGTTTTCTGTCTATGAGCATGTGCTAAGAGTGTGCACATAAAAAATAGGATGAAATCCCATCATTTTGCGCTTTCCTGAGCGAGATTATGCCCTCATGCGCTGCCTATGGTATACCTACCGTAATCCTAACATACAGTAACCTGAAGCCGGACTATGGCGGTTGCGGCATCGTCCCAACCATATGCTAGAATTCCATGGAGTTCTACCGTAAACTAGCAAAGTTAGAGCTTTCGTAAACTTACGGCCCACCGGTGGGTCGTATTGTCCGAAGTGGGAGGACGCGTATGACCCACTGGTGGGTCGTATTGTCGTTAATGTGTAGAATTCTAACTGATGCTACCAATTTCCATACTTGTTCGACTCAAACCTGGTAGAACATCAAACGGTGTTATTCGAGGCAGCTTTTCTCCTCTTTTCAACGAATGTTTTTTGTTTACTCTTTGTGGAGTTTTTGGGATAAGATCATCATGTTTTCGAATGCTCCCGGGCTGTAACCAAAAAATTCGAAATTTGATATTTCGAATCCGTATACTTTCGTTTGCTTTGTAAAATTAATGTGAAATCATGGTATCGGTTTGGAAGTTACAAATATGGAATATTTATTGGTGTTGGTAATGTTTATGTCTGACGTAGGCCTGCCAAAATTCGGAGGTTTCAATAAAAGAATTTTGGAAAAAAATGTGGCGAGATATGGAAAGAAGAAGAAAGTGTGCTGTTTTCTGTAGGGTTTGTTCTATCCACCCTTCCAATGGCTGAACTCTGGTCATTAGTGTACCATAGAATCGACAAGGACAATGATCCTTTGACAATCCAGTGAAGGTCATGTATTGCCTCAAAAGAACCGAACGAGTCAAAAACTCTTATACTACAATACTGCTCATAATTTATCAAAAAAGTCGCCGGACTGCGGCGCACTCCGCCAGAGTGCGCTGCAGTCCGCCGGAGTGCGGCGCAGTCCACTAGAGTGCGGTGGAGTGCGCCGCACATCACTAGAGTCCGTCGGAATCCGCGTAGCAGCGCCACATCTCGTTTCAGAATGGACGAATTTTGAATCCGAGGACACCGTTCGATTCAGCTCGGCGAGACGCATCACACTATATATATAGAAGTGCCACAATCTGTCGATTTACTGTAGGCGTACGGTAGGCAGTAAGTTTTCGCTCAGTTTTGCACGTTTTTGTTTGATTAGATTAGTCAGTGTGCTGAAAACAACATCGCCATTGATTTGCTGCTGACGACACATCGTACGGATACTGTTGGAGTACGGTAAAGTTACTTCGATTTGTTAAGTCAAGCACAGGGTATTTCATGCACTGATTGCGGTAATTACATTCGTTTGATGCTCAAGGCACAGTGCGCAGGGATCTGCGATGCAAGGTCATTTTAGTTGCGTTCTAAACATTGCTTGTTGTTGCTTTCACGTGTTGCTCGTTCTAAAACAGAAAGATCGCATGCCGCACTGGCAATCCGAACAAACGAAATGGTGTTATAAAATGCGCCTTAGTGAACTGATTCCTAATTTACTTTCCTTATCTGCTGAACGGCTCTCTAGTAGAAGTCTTAGGCGTCTCCAAACTTCGCAATCAATCAGTCACATCAATTAGCGGCACAAGGACCCTTCATTATTTTAATAGAATTTTTGCTCTTTGTAGTGAGTACACACAACATCGTGCCCATTATGGCCTTTCGAACTGGCCTTCAAAGTAATATGCAGAGCTAGCTCAATAACTCTATACTTCCGACCGCTCATAACTTCTCTCAGAAACTCATTCAGCAGTTAGGGAAGGTAGTATCCTTACCAAGACGCTTAAAATAAGCATTTTACTAAGATCGACAGCTGTGATCTTAAGTCATTTCCTGTTCCATAGTAGCTAATATTTATTATGACGTCATGCTGTAGAGTACAGACGTTGTTACTTAGCATACGTGATTTAGCTGTGTATAGTGAGCATAATATTTTCGTAAGAACGTGTTTTCACTATAACATATCGCAGCGCACACTGCACATAAAAAGTTTTATGAGTATTTTTTGATAAAGCTGTGTCCTTACAACATCCTCGATAGAAGACCAGTCAAAGGTTTTTCTCCAAAGCCGAGAGAAAGAGCAGTGAATTTCGGTGATATGAAAGGTCCAGGAATTACCAATTTATCGCAAGTCTACATCAGCATCGTAGAAAGCAAATTTTGCGTTAGTACTGCAACGTTTATGCCATATTGCCCATCTGAGCTAAGTTTCGCGTTGATCCGAGGTCTTCACTTCCGTTCTGCGGGCAGGTGTTTATATAAGCGCAACTCAGTCCTTTGTGCAGATGAGGGGCTCCCGTAGGCATCACCCGATAGAACAGCCTCTTTAGTTTTTAGTAGCAGAGAAAAGCGCACACTCTTTTGCTATGAGGGATTAAATCGCTCGCAAACTTTGAAGAAATCCGTGTTCACCTAAAAAACTGCCTACTGTAGCCCTACAGTAAGAAGCTATCTTGCAAATGAGATATGTAGTAGCAGAGAAAAGCGCAGAATTATGAATTTCATGATTAGCGGGTTGGATAGCCTCTATAGGCAGACTTTCTCAGAGAATCGGGACACTTGATTTCTCGTTCCTCGCTCATGAACTCGCCGCAGGTTTTGCCTGAAATATCAGGTTGGTATGAAAGTTCTCGGACATTTTCAGAAAAGATCTGCTATTTTTCGAAACCTAACGCATATACATCAGATAGGGGTACCATTCGATAGAGCAAAGCAAGCTCTACAAGATGGTATGCAAAAGTTGCACCAGCTTCGACCCACCGTAAGTTTGCAACCAAAATCTGAGTCGTACTGAAATCCAAAAAATCGCGAAAAATTCATATCTTTGTTCAAACAAATCCTGCGGATCTCCAACTTGCTCATAAAAATTGCACACCACATTAGACATTCATATGCACCGTTCCTGTAATTTTTCCTCATCTAGAAATCGAAAAAACGAAAATTTTCATGCTTGTATAAAAACGAAGCTGTGCTGTTTTCACTCATGTAATTGAATAGTACAAGCCCTTAAAAGTATAACCGTAAATTTTCAGCTTTTTACAGGCCCTAATTCCCGAAACTTACCGAATTGAGCGCTCCTCACTCGGGCGTTCCATGCTAAAATCAATATTTTTCGACAACTAGGGCTTACGGAAAGCTGAAAATTTACTGTTTTACTTTTGAGGGCTTGTACTATTCAATTTCGTCGGTGGAAAAAGCACAGCTTCGTTTTTATACAAGCATGAAAATTTTCGTTTTCTCGATTCCCAGATGAGGAAAAATTACAGGAACGGTGCATATGAGTGTCTGATGTGGTCCGCAATTTTTATGAGCAAGTTGGAGATTTGTAGGATTTGTGTGAACAAAGATATGAATTGTTCGCAATTTTCAAATTGGTACGACTCAAACTTTGAGTGCAAACTTATGGTGAGTCGAAGCTGGTGCGAATTTTTGCATACCATTTTGTAGAGCTTGCTTTGTTCTATCGCACGGTACCTCTATCTCATGTATATGCGTTAGGTTTCGAGAAATAACAGATCTTTTCTGAAAATGTCCGAGAACTTTCTTACCAACCTAATGTTAATGATCTTGATCCGACCTGAAACTTCGCTCACAAAGGTTTTAGGACCCGCTGTTTACGAAAACCTTAGCTATTCTGC